CCTCTGCCCGAGTCTATGAAAACTGAAGTATCTCTGGCATTGGAGTGTATTATGGTTAGTGAAATAAGTCTGACAGAGAAAGACAAATACAGTATGATATCACTTGTAGGTGGAATCTAAAACAAATAAACTAATGACTATAACAATAGCAAAAAAAAAATATCCCTGACAAGGTGGACTGCCAGCCTTACTCCCAACTGAGAATAGGCTGTATGTACCTCCTGGTTCCTGACAAATAAGGTGTATTTTCTCTAATCCATCCAACTCAAAGTCTTTTAAAACTTGTGAAAGCACTATACTATGACAAAATAATTGTAAAAATAATTGTAGAAGTGTTTTGGAATGTCATACGAACAAATATCATGTTTATCCAAAAGGAAACATTGCCTTTGTTTTATTACATTTTTTAAAAAAGTAAGTCTACAGAAGAGAAGAGAGTCTTTTAAAAATGAATTAGATTTCCACTGCAAATAAGAGTTGTGCTGGGAATCTGGTCAAGAGTACTTCCCAGATGGCCAGTGTACTATGTTAACAGCCTCAGGCTAGGCTAATTTTGCACACTGATAGAATAACTAACCCCTATGTATTCAGATTTTAAGACTTCCGGTAAGACATTTTGCACAAGAAAAGAATCTGTTCCATCTTCACTGATGCTCCAAATTATAAAATTTTATCACCGTTTTTGTTTCAAAGCTGGATTGTAAACTATTGGAGGGCAGAGATTGTATGATTAGGTGCCAACTATGTTCCAGATGTTAGGCTAGTGTTGGGGAGACACTGTCCCTCTGTCATGCAATTTGCAATCTAGTAGCAGAGAAATATACAATCTAACAATCACCCAAAGTATATAATTACAAACAGGAAAACGTGCTATGAAGGACAAGTAAAGGGTGCAACGAGCATTTAAGGGGGTGGAGGACTGACCTAGTCTAAGATCCCTTGAGGAAGTAACATTGAATGACTGTCTAAAGTTTAAATAGATACTTTGTTAATGAAATAGTTGAGTAATAGACTGTCTCTTAGGCACAGAGAACAGCATCCTAAGGTGGTGCATTCAAATATACAAAAGAAGCCAGCATGGTTGGAGCTGAGTAAGAAAAGGGGGAGAGGTAGGCAGGGCCCAGACCCTGTGTTAAGAATTTTGGTCTTTATCCTAAGGCTGATGGGAAATCACCGGAAGAGTAGAGAAGAAATATAATCCTGCATGAATCCTTTTGCCTGTGGCATGGTGTACAGATTAGATGAGGATGAGAATGGATAAAGGTAGATCAATTAGATGGAGAGATGTTGATAACAAGGGCAGATCCACATTTTGTGTGGCCTGCAGTTTATATACAATTTTTGAGGGTGGCTCCTTAATAAAAAGAATAATAATTACAAATACAAAATTAGGCATAAAGGTGAATATATATATATATTTTTGGGGAGGTAATTAGGTTTGTTTATTTATTTATTTATTTTAATAGCAGTCCTGGAGATTGAACCCAGAACCTCATGTATGCTAAGCACGTGCTCTACCACTGAGCTATACCCTCCCCCCTGAATATTCATTTAGACTGAGAAAAGAAACCACAATATTAGAAATTAGTAAAAGTTGAAAAATATTACAAATAATGCAAAATTTAAAAACAACATACTGTTTTTATTAATTAACTGTCAGACACTCTCCAGACTTTTTTCCACCCACGTTTTGTGGCTATGTCCTCTTTAATTGATTTCTCACATGATGGTGGTTTGTAGTACTTTCTATAGAGGGAATAGAAAAATAATTTAGTCTTTTCTCTAGCATCATTGATCAATATTTTTTTTACTGTTGATAGTTCAGAAAAATTTTTTTTACCTTCATAGTTCATTTGGTTATTGTATGTGTGTCAAATTTCAGAAAGCTCTTACCAAGTATTTCTATGTGGGCATTCAGATTTTCTTGCACAGGTACTAATCTTAGGTATTCTTTGAATTGAAGGCACTAATTCAAAGTCATCAGTGTACTCATTGTAATCACGTATTATGAGTTTATATCTTCAGTGATGTCAGTTTGAGGTCAGATTAGAAAAAAATTTAAATATTTTTGAATGAATTTATATGATCCACTTCTCTTTCCAAATTGATTAGCAAACAATTCAAGAGCCTATTATTACTTTCATTTACAATTCATCTCTTCTTAATGAGTTACTGTTTTTATTCTGACCTGGAAAACATTTGTCACTATTTACTTTTCAACGTCAGGATAATTTCGCGTGATATTCTCACTCATCCTTTATCACTTTGATTTCATATCCATTAATTTTTTAATCTCAGTTTTATCTCAGTGCTTTGAATCAATAAATCTAAAGATGACAAAAGAAGGTACCTACTATATAGGTCCCCATCAGGAGTCTGTAGTTTATCAGTAGTTTCATTAAAACATTCCAAAACATCTTTCTAAATTGCAGTTTTAATGTTAAGTTTTTACATCTCATTTGTATTCTTGTTTGTCTTCTGAGTTGTTGCAAATGTATTTTAGAGTCCTAACATTTTCCTAGGGCCTATGTTGCAAGGCTTGGACACCTTTATAATGTGCAGACCTTTTCATTATCCTTAGACGCTACAAGAAAAAAATCCAAGATGGCAAATACGTTTAAAATATGGCACATAGTCGTTGAACCGGAAAGTAATATACACAACTGTTGCACATTATTGACATAGTTAACAACTTCAGGTACTTTGAGGGAAGCCTTTCTTCCAACAAAAATAAGGCAATGAGTTGTAAAATAAGGCTCATGGTCTGCAGTTTTTTTAAAGAGCCTGCAGCCCTTTGTCCTAATCATCATAATAGCTGTGTTGACATATGACTGATGGTAAATGTTGTTCAACTGCAGGTAGAAATAGTCCAAATCTTGTTTCGCTTTGAAGTCTCAGAAAAATGTTTTCAGTTGGTTGAAAAAGTTAAAAGTCATTAATAGGGTTTCCTGCTAGAAGAGTTGTGCACAGTAATGAACAGCTGATTGATCTTAGTCACATCTGAGTAGAATGTATAATGTTATTATTTGGTGTCTGGTTATGTATTTGACTTGCATTTAAAAAAAACATTTTCTCATCACTTCAATTAATTTTTCATTTATTATTTTGGTAAAATAAGCCTTATTTTTTCACTTTGTCATTTCTTTCTAAGAGCTTAAGCCAAAATGGATAAAATCCATCTACTGAAAAATTCCCA